TGTTAAATGAGGATAATGGTACCTACCTTGATTTAACTCACAAGGAAGTTGTACAAATTGTTTATCATTCACTGTAAGCAACATAGAATAAAGTGCTGATAATATTGTTTATATTCAACTACACGATTATAACTGTTTTTGCTTAGACCTCTTTACTGAGGTATTGTTGACATACAAAAAGCTGTACATATTTAATGTATACAACTTGAGTTTGGAGGTAAGTATCTACCTGTGAAATTATTACCACAATCTATGACATAAACATATCCATCACCTCCTAAAGTTGCCTGTAGCCCATCCTATTTACTGGTTTTTTTTTTTTTTGTGATAAGGACACTTAAGATCTATCCTCTTCACAAAATTTTAAGTGTACAATACAGGACAGTTAACTACAGGCACTGTGCTGACGTAGATCTCTAAGACTTTCCATCTCGTATAATCGAAACTGTACCCTTTGATTAATACCTCTCGTTTCCCTCTCCTTCCAGCCCCTGGCAACCACTATTCCACTTTCTGCTTCTAAGAGCTTGACTAGATTCCTCATGTAGGTAGTATTTTTCCCTCTGTGTCTGGCTTGTTTCATGTAGCATAGTGTCCTCCAGCTCCATCCATGTTGTTGCAAATGGCAGGATTTCCTTCTTTCTAAGGCCTGAATAATATTCCATCGTGTGTATATATGATTCTTGTTGCTTTTAATGTAAATGTGATGGAAACAATAGCTCAAAATCTTTAAGGAGTATTTTTTCCTTATCTAAGGGAAACAAGAATAAACAAGAGAAAAAGTGGCCTACCAAAACAGATTTCGAGGGAAGATAATTATTCAACAAACATTTACTGATTGCCTACTTTGTGCCAAGCCTGGGGTTAGGGTTGGGGCTGGGGTAGGGGAGAATAAGAGTGAATAATACACAGTCTCTATTCTCAGGTACTTTATTCTGCTGGATGACACATGTCAATGCCCAGACAGAATCATAGGCCATTGACCCTAGAACCTGAAGAGGCTAAGTGCCTCTACCATGGCAATAAAGGACTGTCAAGTTTGACCATCAGAGATCAGCTGAACCAGGTATAGGAGCTCGGCCTCATCACAGAGTTACAGTGGGAGAGTCATCAAGGTAACCTGCAGCAGTTTTGCAGAGCCTAAAGTGAAATTAGGGGACAGATTGGTTGGGGATGCCCCACACTTGAGGGGTTCCCCTGGTAAGCATAAGGGGGAATCCCCTTAAATATGGTAGAACCCCAACAGTAAATATAGGGGCTGGAGGGGAGAACAGATCCCTGCCTGCCAGTAGGAGACTGGAAGGGGTGGGGGAATTCTTAAAAACTCCATTTACAGAACAGGAGATCCCCTTCTGTTACTCAAAGTTCCCTTGCACAGGGTATTCTGAGACATTTGTGATTACTAGCCTCTTGAACCCTGTTTCTGATTCAATCTTCCTTCAGGGTTTAGAATAAGACAACTGAATATATATTTATAAGTATAAAATGATAAAAAATATGAATACACACACACTCACACTGTTTGGCTGGTAAGTCAGTGGCCCCAGAATTTAAGCCATTTATTTGTACCACTTGAATCAAGTGTTGTTCATTCCTAATTAGTCCATGCTAAAACATAATTCCAGACAGAAGACGATGTGGATTTTACAAAATATAAAGTAAGATATATGTCTGAGAAAATTACAGTTCTGACATAATTAACAGCTTCTGGTACCGCCAGAATCAGCAAAATATCAGCAAAATAATACTAGCATAAACTTACAGGATACCTATTACGTGCAAGGCATATAAAGATGAAAAGAAGCAAAGATATGAATTTAACAGTTTGGGAATGGAAACAACTTTTAAAGTTGAAAGAAAAATTCTTTAGTACATTTTACTTCCCATCACCTTATCCCAGATAAGCAATTAACTTCAAGAACTCTTTCCTCTTCATGGAGATGGCAGTGGCAGTTAACACTGAATTAATAATATATTTATTTGCAAAGTGTTTGGAATTTTGAAAAATGCATTAAGGACAAAGAACAGTATTATTAAAACATTATTTCATATATCACGTGGAAGCACATAATACATACAGCCAAGCAGGCAGAATCCTCCCACTCTTCCAAGGTACAAATTCTAATATTCTCCTGTCCTACACTTTCCAACAACTAAAAGCAGGACAAAATGTTTAAAAACCTCACAAACTGTACCAATCTGAGGACCTCTATTGGAATTTCACGCTGTTGATCACCGGTGGCCGGGTGACAATATGGATAGGTGGCAATATGATTATTACTGGAAAAATAACTCAAAGCCAAAATCTTTTTGTAGTAGGTTGGTACCATCATTCTTTATGTTAAAAATTGCATTTCATCTCTAAGGTGGAACTAATATTTTTTGCTTGATATACAACACTGCTCATTTAGACAGGTAATAAAATTACAGTGAATTAAGTGAAAATTGCTTTGAATAAATCTATACAATCAATAATATGAGTCTGGAAATGCATGCATGTGTTCAGTCAGTTTAAATATATCAAGACAAATGATATTTTATAATATGGTTGGGAAAATCTGTTTTTTAAAGTTAATCTTGGAAAAATACCATATTCCATATTCCACATGATATATTCAAAGCTTCAAATATTATTTTCATTAAAAGTAGAAATTTCTGAACAGAATCATGACTAGAGAGCCTGAAAATTGTAACATGCTCTTTATTAAACATATATAACTTTTCATTAATATATAATGTAAGTTAAAACCTCTAACACTAGATAACCTATAACTGTAGAGTTTCTGTTTCATTTTTTCCTATGTACATGCTAATATATATTAATGTAAAAAATAAAATATCATTTTTCCCACTCAATATCTTGAACATATTTTATATTAGTTTGTGATTAAAGTTTTAATGTATTTCTTAAGAGTAAAAAGCTCCCCCATAGTTTGAGAATATCCTTTTTTTAACCTGAAATAGGTTTAAAAAAGTTTAAGATTTCACATTTCAAAATAGTAAAATGAGTGTAAATACTTTAAAATCTGCTCATTGTGGCATCCTAAATTTTTTTTTTTGAAGTAAGGGCTCTAAGTTGCGAAATCTTTTTCTGAAATACTTGAGTACGATTATTAGAAGAGTTTCATTTCTGGCTCAATCTGTTCTTCTAATCATTCTAAATCCTAGATGCAGTGTGAACAGTTAAAAAACAAGTCCTAAAGATCAGTTCTTGTCTTTATACACACGATCGTCGGAGTCGCACGCAGCGTCTGTATAAGCAGACTCCTCCCCACTCCTGGGGAAAACCCTGCCTAATATTTATAACGTTATGACATACTGTAATACTCACAAGGTGGTTGTAGAAGTATAAACACGGCTGGGGTTATCTGATTGGCTGCTGGTGATGTAACACCCATGTCAATACTTCCCAGTGAACGCACGTGTTCGACCTTTTATTTAAATTTCCATTTCATCACAGCAATAAGACACTCGGGGCGGTGCATTTTCTGTGAAATGATTATTGCCCTGGGCCTGAGGTGCAGCCTCGCACACACAATGCATCGGACGAGGAGATGTCCGTGGCTGTAACCTCCTCGCGTGAAAGGCACCGCCTGGTCCAGTCTTTGTGAAGGAACAAAATAAGTTCACTTCCTTGGGCACCGCCGCCCACCCCCAGCAAATGACAAGGCTGGAGCGCAGCTCCCACCGCACAGTTATTTCCAAAGTCCCAGGTGAACTCCTGGCCAGAGCAGGAAAATGTGCGTCCCGGGCGCGGGTAGGTGCGTGCGGGCAGCGGGGAGGTGGCCAGACCCTGACACTCGCCAGCTGTTTGTCCTCCGCGGAGCC